AAGAAACTCAGAAATTCTAATTCTTTGGAGGTGATAAACTACTTCCACATAAAAACGCCTTTCCAGACTTCTTTATATTACCTCTTCAGAAAACACGCTGTTCCACTACCAAGTAAAATTATATTTATCTGTCAAATAAATGAAAGTGAAAGCAAATATTCTAGCTGCTTTCATCAACTTGCCCATACCTGTCAACCCCAGATAATAAAAGCAACTTCACATTTTACAAGGCACATGCATCATTATGTGGTCTATTCTTTTAAGAATCTTTCTTCCATGTCCTGCTCACAGATATAGAGGTGCATAAAAATGATCACAAAACAAAATTGGTTACTGTATTCTAATTTTCATATGTAGCTCCTAAAAACAAGAGGCACTACATATGCAAAGCATCCAGTAACCTATAGACAAGCACTACAGAATCACAGAACATACTGAGCTGGAAGGGACCCACAAGGAACACTGCGTCCAACTCCTAGCCCTGCACAGGACAACAACGTGTACAACTGTTTATATAAAGCCACAAGTTTTGAAGTAATGGGTCACAAATGTGGGAAATGAAATCAGTTTGCCATATTCAGAACAGGTGACTTACCCTAAACACAAACTCACAAATCTCTGCCTCACTACAGTGACTCTAATTTTTTTATTTCAGGTATTACTAACCAAATTCTAATGTGGCTCGAGGGGAAAATATCCTTCATTCAAACATTGCATTTGCTGATAAACTGATGCCTAAAATACTAGGAGTCCCCAGTAGAATACAGATGGAAGAAATATCCCACAACATATCCTCTAAACTCTGAGGCTGGCTTCCTGTTACAACTGTGCCTACTGATAAATTCCACATGAAATCAACATATTTTTGCCATATGGATACCACCAGACTTAATTTCTCAGTGGACAGTCAAAAGCACCAATAACCAAAATTAGAGACATCATTAAACACTGATTTGAAGAAAAGAGGTATTTGAGCAAGTTTGCATTCTGTTTCATTTTAAAAGAAAAAGTCAGGCTACATTTTAGCATTCACAGGCTTATCAGATATAACTTGAAGATTGTACACAAACAAAATCAAGAACTAAGTACAGAGTAGTGAACTTCAGAAATGTTCAGAAGAAAAAAACCTATCTCAAATTTTAAGGCTTCATGCTTTCCTATGGCAAAACATAGGTTCATAACTTGGTAGCTATCAAAACAGAAACCCCTTTCCTAAGACTATATCCAAACTCAATGTAGGTGTACATATAATACTCTGTCTATGTGTTTTAACTCAACTCATACTAGCATTTCAGATGTTTGTGGTAGAAATATCCCAAAGGCTGGCAACACAAGCTATTTTGCTTCAGACTGAATGCACCTTAACATCATGTTCTAGTTTCAGGCCAACCAGGACAGAGTAACTAATATTCAGTGCAATCAATCAGCCATTTTAAAAGATGTACTCTTAGAAACAGCTCTGCCAACTGTCAAATAAATAGAAAAGTAGTAGTCTAGGTATTATAATCAACTCCAAGGACCTTTTATGGTCAAGCACATGGAGGCAGAATAATTCAGATACAGAAAGCAAATATGACTTGTGATGGGCTCATAAAAAGTGAGAAGAGAACAAAAGAGACAGAGAAATCTTAACACATCTCAAGAAGCATCAATCAGAAAAATTCATGGCATTTATAATCTATAAATGTAACAGATACTGCTCATGAGACTTCCTTTGCAAAGGAGATGTGGAGGTAAAAGAAGGTCTTAGGAAAGAGGCCTCTCATGAAACAAAAAAATGGAAACTCAAGGGCAGGAAAAAAGAGAATGTACTTTAAAGTCAATTCTATGAAGATACTTACATAATTATGATGGATACCAAGCAAATACTGCTCCTTACAACTACTATTTCAACACTGAAATTTTGAACAGAGTAGGAATTCTTGTCATTCCTTTGTGTAACTTTCCTATTTTTCAGCTGTTTCAATTGCAGCATATGGATAGTTTCTCTTCAAACCATTCTAAAAAGGTTTGGAAAGTGCGGTTTGTAGATTGGGTGGGGGGATGTTTGGGGGTTTTTAATCAACTCAGACAGAACACCTAAACCATTTTCTTCAAGAGCTTCAGCTTCAGTGAGAGTGTGTTTGCACAGCCATAACTTGAATGATAACAAACCTGGGCAAGCAAAAATGTAACTGTTCAAACAGGCTTATCCATGGGAAGACAAATTTGTGCTGAGACAGAGACCTAAGCAGTTCAAATTAATTTAAATTGTCAGTGTAAGTGGTTACACTTCTGAAGCAATCCAGGCAGTGTGAAGTATGTAGGAGTCCCCTTGACATTACAAATATGTCAGAAAGAGCAACTAATATACATCAACAGAACCAGAATATAAACTTCCAACAAAATAAGGGACAAACTTCTATAACAATTACTAGAAATGAACTTCCAGTTCAGTGACTAGTTATAGAGATACTCAGGGAAAACACAGAATAAGATAAACACACAAAGTTTTGCCTGTGGTTCAAGTTTCTGGTCACAAGCTTTTATAGCAAATTTTTGACATCCTGACAGAGAGCATTCAGCTTTTAACAGAAGGAAAAAAGTTTAACAGCTTAAAAATACATAACTTTTAGATTTCAGAAATACCTAAAAATGTTCCAAGTAACTGCTTCTCCTTGATTCTATTTTTTCTTCCATGTTTCTGAAAATGTGATGGAAATCCAGCAGCTTGTACTGGAATTTGATCTTGAATGTTGTAGTATATTATTATCTACATACAGGTATTGCAATAGATAAATACTGTATTACATGTTATTATAAGAGAAAAAATCAATTCATAAATAATAAGGAGGCAATCACAAGTTGCTTTTGTGAGGCAATCACTACTCCTGCCCTAAGGGATTTACATAAAATAGCTTCTAATAGCATTTTTCTTATCCAGCAAGCTAGAGTCACACATTAGAAGTAACAGACATTATGCCTTAAGGAGAAAATACAAATGACCAGGTAAATGAACATACAAATGAGCTGTAGAGACAACTGTTTCAGAATGCTCCATTTACTTTGTAAGTACTATTGCAATAAAAGTGAAGAAAGTAATTAATTGGCATACATCATATTTAAGGCACTTTAATCTTTCAGCAGTGTAGGATTAACAACTTATTAAAGTCCTTAATATTATTTGTTACAGTAGTACCGTGCTCAGAGGCCCAAAATAAGACAGGTCTCTCCTGAGTACTAGAAAATCATTATCACATTGACACACAAGGAATTCTCTTTCAAAATATTTAAAAAAAAACAGAAAAAACACATATGCTCTGTTTAAGCCAAATTACTATATCTACAGGCTTTACTACAGTTTTGCTGTTTTATTAAACTAGCTCATTTATTCTTTTTAATGCCAGAAGTACAAACATACTGCATATTTTCCAACAGATGGGTAAAAGTATAGCTCAGAAACATACAGCCCTGGACCTCTCCCTGCCTCTCAGACCATTGGGTGTAAGCACACAGATGCTCCTTTGTTTATCAGTACCTGAATAAAGAGGTTTGCATAACTAGGTTCCTGTCTCTCCACCTGCTGAAGAACACAACCTCAAGTCAAAACCTGACATTTGTAGGTCTGTGGGAATTCCGAATCTAACTGGCAAATTGAGCTGGGACAGATTTTAGGCTCTCAGATTTCTCCCTAATATCAAACTGCTCAGTGTTGAAGTTCACAGGGAACAGGCAGAATCTGCATAAACATTTTAGACACATTATTGGAACAGATGATTCAATATAATGGGTTTCCAAACAAGTAATTGTATATACAAATATTAGTACAATCTGCTATTGTAAACATCAATGGTTTTTTTCAAATTTTTGTAATACAAGTGTTTTTTCCATACTTCAGAAGCTGTACTGTCATATCCTGCATAATTAACTTCTGGGTTATACTAAGTGGCCCACTGAGACTGTTCATTATATTTCACTTGTTAAGACCTGCTGGATGAAGCCAGCCCAACCCTCTCCAGAGTCTAAAAAAACATAAATTATGAATAATTTTTTTTAAAAATTAGGTATCTATTAGTAACAAACAAAACACAAACATCCCTCAGATTACTCAGCACAACTCAGCAAAGCTAGTTAGTCAGATGTTCTATTTCCATTTGTTTGGAGGTAAAATGCTTGACTTATGATGAAATGTTTAGCAATGCAGTGTATGTTGGCTCAGCAGCCACCAGCCTGCTGAGGATCAGTTCTACATGACAAGGATATTCCTACTGCATCCCCTATAGTCATAGGCACTGAGCAACCAGCACCCAGCCCAGCTATGGGGGCACACAGTACAGGCATAAATTGGATTGTATAAAAACACTGTCTGAACCTTTCTGTAGTTTGCTTATTTCAGTGACAGTCACAACATAAGTTGTAAACACATCCTACCTTCTCTTCACCCAATCCTCTACCCAACCACTTTTCCCCTGATCTGTCTTACGCTTCTTTTACAAAAAGTTTTGGTCTGTTGCAGTGCAGCCCTTGGCAATTTAAACAGTTCCTTAATTTCCATAATTTAACACTGGATTTTAATAATCCATTCCAACAAATCATCTCTGGAATGCATATGCTCTTAAATGCTTAATGAAGAACAGATTTTCAGTGAGATTCCCTATTTTCCTGTCTCAGGGAAGGACCTTGCCAGATTGCACAACCACACTTTTCATTCTTTTCAAAAAGAAGCTACTGGGCTGGAGCTATGAGACTCCAGGTTACTGGGCTGGAACTATGAGACTCCAGGTTCAAACTTCACTCAAAAAAACCAGAAAATCTAAAGCACAATAGAGCAATTCTAGTATTGTTCTAGTACACTCATTAATGAAATGAACATTTTACAAAACAAAGGAAAAACTTAGAATTTTCCTTTTAAAAGTTAACTTACTTGATACATACCTCAGAACTGTTTGTTAGGATCTAGAAGCAAATTACACAACCAGAGATTAATCTAAGTAAAAAGTAAACTTTAACTAGTTACTTACTGAAAATTCGCTACTTTTACTGATACAGGAATGCAGGGAAGTTGAGTGGCCCATTTCAATGTAACATCTTGATAAACATTCAACATTTTACTGTGGTTTGCAATTAAAGTGTTTATTGTTCCTTCTCGCACTGTTCAAAGATGAAAAAAAACAATTTTAAAATGAAAGATTTTTCATTAGCTAGTACTTTTCTTTGAGCCTTATATAGTGTTTTCTTTTATTTTAAAACCATTAGTTGTTATAAATTAATTTATTATAAATTATCAAAAGTTAGGAAAGTTACATTGACACTAACCAAGGACATATGTGATTAATTGTGGATACCAATTTCAATTGCATATTACACAATATATGCCACAACTTGCTAGGGTTTTGGCCAGCCTTGTTTGGTAATTTAAAACACGACAAACAAAGACTCATAATGGCCATGTTGGCATGCCAGGATAGATATGACAAAATACACATTGATTAAATATCTGCTACTTACACTATTCATTAATTCTTTATTTTGTGAATACCAATTAAATGTGTATGCATTTATAGGGTGTATTTATAGTATAGTTCAAAACAAAGCATAAAATGTGAAGACTGCTAAGATCAAATTTCTAAAGATTAAAATGATACTTTAAGTTCAAAAGGAGACATACTGTCAAAAATTTATCAGTTTTTGAAACATTAAAAGAGAACATGTATTAAGAGTCTATAATTCTCAACAAGTATCTAAGTTGTTTCCACCAATTTAATATCAATAAACTTTGATCTTTTTAAGAATCTCTAAGTATCAGAAGGTCATAAATCAAAAGGTCCTCAAATAGAAGGTCCTCAAACACAAGTTTACTCTTCCAAAGACTGCCATTCTTCTGTGTTTGCTGCTTTGATAGCCTGGGCACCAGACAAGTACCTCCATGATTCTACAGATCATAGACTCACAGAATCATAGAATGTCTTGGGTTAGAACAGACCTTAAAGATCATCTAATCTCAACCCCCACTAACATGGGCAGGAACACCTTCCACTAGACCAGGTTGCACAATGCCCCACCCAACTTACTTATTCAGAAAAAATTATTTATTCAGTGGTTAAAAAAAAAAATAATCAAGTTAAAGTTAAAGCTTCCTTTTACAAACCTGAACAGTAAGGAATGAAGCAACTCGGATTGTAATCAAGTTTTTTCATGAATCGTATTTGCCCATTATCCTTAAGGCAAAAGAAGTTTCTTTCACCAAGCACAAAAACAGAAGAAACTCCCTGATTAAATGAGACAATGCATATATCCAGTGCTTGCTCTCCGATGTTTAAAACCCAATCCACCTTCAAAAGAAAAAGCATGCTCCAGAAATCAAGTGACAACTGCATATTAAAGACAAAACATTGAGAAGGCTCAGAGCTAGTCAAATTACATATCATTTACATAGACAGAAAAGCAAAATCAAGGTCTTTTTCTGGATAAGAATTATCCTCTTATTCTTAGGGCAGTCAGCAGTCAGTAACTTTCCTTAATGTGACTCAAAAAATGTCTTTTTTTTAATATGTCATTAATTGTTTGCTATGCAGTTCAGTTAAGTACATTTAGAATTTAAAATACACATCCCATTCAAAATGGAAATGCTTTATACTTTAACTAATTAATCCAAGAATAGATATTTAGAATAATTTTCATCTGCTTCCATGCATGTCCTTGGTTATTAAGCAAAAGGATAAAGAGCAAAAGGTGACAACTTATTCTACCAATATATGTAAATGGAAAACTAGACAAACATTTCAGGTGTGTAAGCCAATATTTATGCTTGCAGTCATTCATGTACACCCTTTAACCTGGAGAATGCTTGCGTATGTCATAGTTGTGTGTTTACTTCTCCAACTGTATACATTGATATAATAAGCAACTACTTAGAAATCCTGCCTCCCCTGTCTTTAAACAATACTACTGCTTATTGACACATATCATTGATTTGTTTCTTCAGCTCCTCTGATAAATTCCAACTAAACACACATGCAAAAAATGCTTTTGACCTCTGCCAAGCTGGTTAAACAGAAATTTAGAATTTTGAGGTAAAAATATATCGAAGTTCAACTGTCAGCAATTCCTATATGAACAGCATTAATGATTTTGCTTAAAGAGCATAGAATGTGCCAGCAAATATCCTGGCACATCTGATATATGAAACTAGAAGTTCCATCTTAAAAGTTAAAGGGAAAAAACCAGCTTATTATGTTTGTTTCCATGCATGCTTCATGTTTTAGATTAAAAACTGTTCCATTTGCAGTATATCTGATAAGTCTCCAGGTTTTTTTATTTATAAATTGCCTTCTCCCACTTCTATATGTAAGATTCAGTCTACATGTGTTTGAAAAATTCTACAATTAGCCAGAGGAAGGAAGATGCTCTCCCAATATTTTACTTTGAGCCTGAAATATGATGAATCAAGCATTTTATATATGCAGTGCATTTAGCAGACAAGCAACTCTACTCCAGGACCACAAAAAATTGAATTCTCTTTGTCTTAAGAGGAGGTAGCTCAAATATTAAACTAAATAGTGACAGAGACCTCCAGAAGACTTTTGAATCCACAGGTTTTTGACAAAAATAGTTCAGGACGCTATTTATGGAAACATTTCACTGTGAATTTTTCTCTAAGTACAAAGGATTCCCCAAGGAGAATGAGATTCATTTTCTACAATACAAAGTCACAATCAGACTTCATTTACAAATGAGCAATAATTCAGGTATACCTATTTATCTATTTTACTACTGTAGGTTCTGTATTACAAAGACTGCCTTGGAAATAGTTATTTCCACCACAGTAGTTTTTCTTTCCTCACTAGAACAACAGCAAGTTTTAAGGCCCAACCTTAAACAACAGAAGCCCAAAGAAACCTTAATAGAAATCTACTGGAGTCTTTCCATTGCCCTTAGCAGAAATTGGATCAGGTCCTTTGTCAGCAGACAATGTTTCCATTTGTTACTTAGCATCAGTCATTTCAATATGTGCGCAGTGTTCACAGAGGGTATGTAAAATAAACAGGTTTTACCAGAAGTCTTTTTCCAGAACTGAGTTTTTGCTGTTCTGTGTCTTGTCTTTCATCAGCATCTGTTGCAAATGCCAGCACTTGGTATCTGTTACAGGCAGTTTAAAAATATTAAAAAAAAAAATTATATCTTTGTAACTAATACCTCTACATTGAGTAAAAAATAAAATATAATTCTGATTATACATACACAGTAAAATCACAGTCTAAAAGGATGGTTAGAAAGCCTACTGCAACATGTCTACTGTGAGCAAAGATGTTAAGACTAGTATCAGTGTAAGATAGCAGCTAAGTGTAAAGGTAAAAATTAAAACAAGCATTTCCATTCAGATTTTATGACGAATTAAAATCAATTTGACAGTCTAAATATTAGTAGATAGAAGTACAGACCACAAAGATTGAAGAAATAAATTATCAAACTGTGAAATTGGAATTCTAATTAAAAAATGACAATTTTTTTGTATTTATTAAGCTTTTAAAAAAACTTCCAAAACTCCTCAGAAATAAAATCTTCTCTATCTAATAGTGCAACTTGCAAGCACCTCCATTAAGTAAACTGTCTCCAATCTAGCAGACTGCAGTAAACTGGAATCAGTAGGTGGCACATTTAGCAAAAGTTGGAAGGTTTGTGGCATTTTATTATTTTAACTGCCAACAAACGATACTAAGAAAAACTGGCAATGAAGACATTTGAACTATATCAACTGCCATGAAAGCTCTGCACATCTATCTGTCCTCTTTACACCTATGCAATCCTCACTGTTCAAACTCTGTCCTCATTGACTCTTCTGTACCTGTTTCCTGAATTTGTGATGGTATCGTAATTCACTGATCTATCCTGTTTCTTGTGTATACACATAGATAACCTGTGGAACACTGAAGGTTTCTACATAAGTGAAATAAACAATAGAATAAGATCCAACTTAAACTTATCCAAAAAGACAGCATTTAATTCTTGAAGTCATGGAGTACCATCAGTTCCTAAGCTTAAACCAACACAATTCTGAATGCTCCAATTCAATCTAAAATAGCAGTACATATTTTTCTTCATTGTCAAAGTTGGAGATTTAAAATGACAACAGTATTCCTTACATTTCATGCATGTATTATGGTGCAGCAAAGGGACAAGGCGTAATGGCCATATATTAAAACACAAGAAGTTACATCTCAACATGAGGAAAAACTTCTTTACATTGAGGGAGGCAGAGCAGTGGAATAGGCTGACCAGGGAGTCATGGAGTCTCCCTCCCTGTAGAGAGTCACAGCCTACCTGGATATTCCAGTGTCACTCTCAAGGTGACCCTGTCTTTGCAGGGGGCTTGCACAGATGGTCTCCAGAGGTCCCTTCCAATCCTAACCAGTGATACTCTGCTTGCAACTGAAGGATTTTAGTTTCTAAAATTGTTTTACTTACAAAAGTAAACTGTGTACTTCGAGTAAGAAATCTAATTGTTTAAGGCAAATGCTATGACCTAGTAAATAACATTGAGAGAGCTGCTTTTAGTACAATTAGGATGTCTTTAACTGTCCTCTGTATGAATGAATTTACTTCCCTTATTCAGTTTAACACATTTTTAAGAGAAGTTGCAGATTCACAGAATCACAGAATCACTGAATAAGTTGAGTTAGAAGGGAGCCAGAAGGATCCTGACCTAACAAAATTTTCTCTTCACCATATTTTATACTGATAGTCTTGGAAAGCACCTTAACATTTTATTAACTAATCAGAGACCTGATACGGAGGTTTCAAATAAAGCTCACATCAAACAGCAATATTTAAGTACCAGCTAGATACATATGGTCTTTCATAAAAAAAAACTCAAGCCACAGATGATCAACACAAACTTTCAATTTAGCTATCACATCAAGCATATAAGAGGCATTTTGCTTTTATATCTTGAAAGAATTCAGGATCAACACAGTAAAAATTGCTTTCAAATGAAGTCTCTAAGAGCTATAAGAAGATGGATAATTTGAAGTTTAGCAACTTGTTCTGCTAAAAACACTAGATAGAACTGTTGTATTTTTTATTCAATACCATAAAAATAACCTCTTCTCTCCTCAGCATATCTGTTTCCTTCACTTTAAAAGGATTACTTAACTCTGTTCTAATGTTCTAATATTTCAAACACAGACTAGAGATTAGTTCCATTAATGTTTTAACATTTGACACTTAAGACCAATAACCAAGTGAAAAATTTGTTTAAAACTATATCCCTACAGTAAGTACAGTAAGGATGGCACGCTTTTGAATTAGTAACATACTGATGAATAATCGTAGGCACATTTTTTGTAAAGGTCAAGAATCTGAACATAATTTAAACATATGAGATGTTCATTTTAAAGGAGAAAATATACCTTTATTCCTTGACACCAGTATTAGATTATAATTTTATTCTAATATTGTATTAGAATTTTAATTCTAAATTCTTAGTAAAATTATGAATTTTCTATTAAATTACTTTTACTTGCAACACACATATGTTGCCCAGTTTTAAGAAAACAATGCATAATACGTATAATCTGATTAATCTTAAGCAGCAAAATAAAAAGAATATTGCTTGAGGACTACAAGTGACAGAACAGGTTCTGTTCTGTCAAACACAAAGAATCGTGTTTGACTAACATTCCCTAGATTAGATTCCCATGGCACTATTCATAAAAAGAGGCATTCTTATTTTCTTTAATATGTATGATTACCTCTGAAAAAAATCCTTAAGGTACTTGCCCATTCCTTCAGCCTCATGAGATTACATGAAAGGCAGCCCCATAAAACCTTTTTATAGTAGCCACTTCCAAAAATTTGACATTGTCCTTGAATTTCAGGACTTGCACTTTGTCCTTCTGTCCAGGAAGAAGATATTAAAGAAATACTGGCTCCAGTATCATCATCACTCATCTTTGGCTGCTGGTTAGAACTGTGAACAACTACTGCTCTGTAAGCCTGACAGCTCTGACACTTTTTCATCCATTTTAGGGGGTGTGGATTTTTGTTATCACAGGTAATAGCTCTGCTTCGAACACCATCCCACCCCAATTTACTGCTAGGGACAGAGATTCAATAACCCTAACATTAGTCCTCTGTGAGAACAAGGGTCTGAAACAGGGAAATGTCTTGTTTGAGAAAGGCTTCACAGCAGACATCCACCACAATGTCCCGCTGCTCAAGCATCCATCTGATTCTAAAGAGATGAATATTTGATAAACTCTCAACATGGTGATTGCATAGAGAGCCCCATGGATTTAAGCTGCTCCTCCAAAGTAAACATAAATGCTCCCTTTTCTGTCTTTCAAAAATCTTTCACATTCTCTTTCTTATTCTCTACTAGATTTGTGATTGATTTGCCTTACAAGATATAGCCCCTGTGCTTGGAGGGAGTGAAAATGTCTTGTGCAGTCTTTACTTTCCATAAACTTAATATGGTCACAAACTAAAATAGCTCACAAGAGTTTCAACCATGTTCCAATGCTGAAAGCACAGACTAGACTGAACTGAAGCAGGGATAAAAACTGGCACTTGGGAGCAACACAGCCTTGATAAACTAGTAGACTTACTACCTTTATAAAAATAAAATAGGACCATAAAGTCCTCAGTACTCACAGCACACTTTCTTCTACAACTGTATTGAGACAGTAATTACTCAGCAACATATAACATCTTTCCTGCAACTACTTGCTTTTGGATACTCCAGTAAAGGCATTAAAAATTAAACAAGATTACTTTCAATGTGTTTACCTAGTAAATGATACCACCAAAGTGTACTATAATTACTGAACATAAACACATACTTGTAACTCTCAACCTGCTGACAAGAAGACACTGTAATGAAAGAGTCTGTGCGAGAGCTATAAGCCAAGGGACCAGGAAGAAGAAAACCAGGTAAAAACCGGCCAAAAGCGTAACTTTCTTGTTCAAACAACATGAGCATCCCATCCATGGACTGTATGCAGATCAAATCTCGACCTGAGGGAAGCAACAGAAAGAAATACAAAGGAAACAAATCAATGTTATTTGTGTAGTTTTAATACTGAAACTGTGAGTAAATTAAAATTGTGCTCGTAAGTAATTCTAACAAAAGCATATTGTCATTTATGGGAGTGTTCACTATGAGGAAAAACATTAAATATTCCAACCCTGATAAAAGCTTACTTTCTAAAATAAACAAACTAGATTGTGGGGACAAATAACATTAAGAATACGTTAAAAAAAAAAAAAAGGCAGCAAGATATTTTATTTCAAAACAAAAATCCTAAGGATATAACTATTACAATTTCAGTTTAAAGAAATGTTTCAATATTCCCAAAACATCAAATTATTCTGGTTCCTAAATGCTTCCATAACTTAAAAGTAGCCATAACAAATGTGGTTTAAAATAACCAATTCTGTTCTTTCAAGTCTACTTAAGCAACATAACAGAAAGTCCTACAAATATGTGTTGTTGCAAAAATAATAAAATGGTAATGTCTTCCATGTTTTACACTCACATTTTCTGTCTTCAAGGAAAGAAAAAACAAACAAAGTTCAACTCTGTATTACTAGCAAGTATAAAAAAATCAAATAAAAAAAATCAGGTTGGAGTAAATTACTTCAAGCCTTATACATTATTCAGCAGCCGTAAGACATGACGTAAGACATGGCTTGTCATGCCTCAAGTACAACGATCTAAATTCAAAGTCTCATTGAGAAGATTTCTGAGATCAGAAGCTGATTATGCAGTTTGCACTTCATATGTAAGGGTAACAATTCATACAAACAATATTTTTTAGGCGTTCAAAGAGAGCTATACCATTAAGACTAACACTTTCTTAAGGTGAAAGAAGCATCTCTCCTGAATTCATAGATAAGCTCTTACCTAGCAAACATTACATGAAATATTCAAATGTCTATTGTCTATTCAAATGTAATTCAAAATGTCTATTCACCTCAATTACAATACTCTATTTCGTCTCAGGAATGATTCTGTATGCATGAAAGACTCAAATAAATTGTCTGTTCACTAAGTTCCACCCTCAATCCTTTAGTAAGTTTTCTAACATAGGAAGGTCAAGCAAAATAAAAATAGACTAAAACTTCATTCTTACAGTTTCATAAAGGTAACTAAAGTCAAATATTCAATATCTGAAAAGCAACAAACGTACAGTGTAAAACATTGTTCATCTCCTTTGGCTTTTAAAAGCATAGCAGCACTTCTTAATATACCCACCACCTTGTTCATCTTATTCATGTTGTTCCCACTCACTAATTTTCAAATTTGGATTTTAACTAGCTTGTACTAGTGGGTCAAACTCCAGTTATCCAAACTATTACATGTAAAGCATAATTAAAGAAAATTAAATTGTGTATGAACTCTTATTTCCTAGATATTTATAGGTCAATTTATTTCCTTCAGCCATTTGTTTTTAATGTATGTCTAGTGAATGGAGTTTTTATGTTTCACTTTGAAAAATGCAGTCCTCCAAACACTCAACCAGAAATGACCATTTCAAAAAAGCTTATTGCAGCCAGTTGGCCTTGCCAGTGACACATTTATAAAGTGAAAATATAAACCACAGTATTTTCTGCATATCAGATGGAATCACTTAGTGTACTCTACATAGTTTCAGCAGCTTGCATCTCAGGAGGAACGTCCATTAGCCAGAAAGTGTTACTTTTAAGCACAAGTCTAGCTACTGTTGTGTTGTAGTTTTGTTATTCTAGCAGAATATGAATATATTTACATCTCACTTTTAAGCCACAATGTATTTTCAGAGCTAATGCAAAGACAAAATGTGAGGCAGGTGGTAGTTCTTTGAAATAAGCTTCTAATTAAATCTATTTTGGAGCTCAAGTTTTTTTGCATGTTAATGATTTCCTGCACTCAGAGCTTCCCCTCTGGCACCAAATCATTTTCATAGAATGTGCATTATGTAATCACAGGGCCTGAGAACCACAAGAAATCAGGCAATGAAAACTGAAGTGGGATAAATTGGAAATCAGAAAAAACTTTGAAAAATTACAGAATTTTTGAAGACATCAGCAGAGAAAACTGCTTTCAATGGTAATCAAATGCCTCACTAAAAGAGTCTTGTGTGGAAGGAAGCATCACTGAAATAAAATTAAAAGGTAAACTGGCATTTACACACTCAGGAGCCTAAGAGCCCTTTAATGTTACATGGGAAATGCTTTCCTAATACGATAAAAAAGTGACCAGTGAAGTGATGCAAATAAACTATATCTTCCCACACACAGTCCCGACTTGAAACAAGCAAGTAGGTTTTCCTTTTCCTTCATCATTAAAATTTGCCCCTGAAATTTCTCACAGCAAAGGAAACACAGACTTCTCCAGTTCAAACCCGCTCCGGAAAATTCTATTTGCTTCTGAGTATTGCTCCTTTAGCAAAGCAGATCTGGGGCAACTGTGAGGAAAAGAACTTCAGGGATCAGGTCTGACAAATGGAAAAAACATTTGAAAATAACTTGAGCAGTTCTTAAAACAATGTATGCCTAGCAAAAGAAAAGTCTTACATTTCCTCCCTAACCCAGTGCAGAAAGCACGTATCAGTGTACATTCAGAAAGAACTCTGAATTCACTAGCTTGGTGGTCTGGTGGCTGCTCTACAGAAAGCATCAAAGTTCAGAGCTTCAGCTGTGGCCATTCATCCTAGGCCAGAGGATCTGACTGCCAACACCCTGAACACAAGCAAAGAGGAAAACTGCCCTGCATCACTCAGTGATAATGCAAGTACCCATCCCAAATGATGCACAAAGTATACACACGTTCTAGCTGACACTGACTGGATGCTTTTCTGCTGGAATTGAAAAATCACTCCAATGGGAAGGAAATATAAATAGAATAGTGCATAGGAAGAACTTTAAGAGAAACTAAGGAAAGTGTTTAAGGAAAATACTAAGTCCTTATTCTACTAAACCGTTCTGGATATTAAAGCATTGCAGTAAAATATATTCGTAAGTCCCAACACAAGAGATGCTCTCTGTAACAGCACTCTCTGTAAGGAGCCTCCCTGGTCAAGTTCTAGTAAAGCATGGAGACAGAGCTGCCATGAAAAAAGAAATGCCCTTGGTTCTCTCACCCATCATATTATATTCCAACCTCTTGTACATTTCTGCCTGCCATAAAACATAAGGAGGATTTCAGGTGGAAAGAGAATCTTGAACCATTGAAATATCTCCTAAGGCAAATCAGCCCTCACTCACACAATTAATCCCTTAGAGACTTGTGATATGCTCCTTTATTCTTAATTCAAGTCTTATCACAGAAGACAATGCAGTTAAATTATGTTACTTGGGAATGAGACCTTTCAATCTCCTACCAACCAGAGGTGGTGGAAGGGCCCTTAGGAAAAACACCAGTATGTTTCAAGGGAGTAAGACAGACCAGCATGGAGTATAAAGATCTCAAAGCATCACAGCTGCAACATCCAACATATTAAAATTCCTACTGAAAGAAACATAGTATTTGGCACTGTGTACACATGACAGGTAAAGTCTCTTCCCTTAAACAGATTATAGTACAAAAATTTGTTTATTACAACCTTCATATGAAGCAAATAATTTTTTCTACAATTGAAAGTGGATGTTTCCACCTAGCGCAAGAAATACTCTCAGTAAAAATGTTCAGGCAGCTGTGAAAGCAGTGTTATTCAAAGTCATTCTTTGTTTTAATGCAGAAGATTAATTATAGATAGCATAAACAGAGGAGGTCTTGAAAATGGCTGTATGCATGGATGTAGCCTGAATAATGATGATTCATGAAGAGATGGTAAATTTTTTCCCCTCAGATTCTGTTTGTTGCCATAACTTTTTCAGTAACTATTTTTCAGGCCCTAGAAGCTGCAGAAATCTTCTAAGAGCCTTGCATTCATACAGGCATTACAACACTGGCATACACTTTTTCTAAAGCAAGTAGGAGGAATTCCAGTCTGTGAACCCTTCTGCTCTCATCTGAAGTTATATACCTATCATACATTTTATAAATATTACAGAACATCTTACTGAACTAGCAAATATCCCACAAACAAGTACTGTCACCAGTCAGCCTTCGAAATCAATAACATTTGACTGAATAGTTCAGGCATCAGTTGGATGCCTGAAATGATGATGAAAATATCAGTTGGATGTTTTTAGCCAATCATAAATTAACAGCAGACCTTTCACTGAGTCAACATGAAGTTGAATGCATACCCTATTTTTCAATATTTTAGATACTTTCAAAAGTTATCAGTAAGATCTTAAGTCACCATCATAAAATAAATCTATCAACTTTAAAATTCCATTTAAAACAGACCTGAAAACTTACAATGAAACAGAACTACATGATCCCACTGTTAAAACCCAGTGAAATTCCCAATCTTTTCTACTACTTCTCCTTTTATAGTCTCCTTAGACTAAGAAGCTTCATGACTGCTAAGCACTTCTCAAAGCACTTTGATGTATGAAGCTCTGTCTCAGGGAGGGTAACGAGTGAGCCAAGAGCTTATGGGTTAGGATTAAAGAGCAAACTAATAAGAGTGACACTGTTGTGGGGGATTGCTATAGGCTGCCTGAAGGGGAGGAGGAAGCAGATGAGGTCTTATACAGACAGCGAGAAGTAGTCTCACAGTCACAGGCCCTGGTTCTCATGGAGGACTTCAACCACCTCGACATCTGCTGGAGGAACCACACAGTGAGGCATAAACAACTCAGGAGGTTCTTGGAAAGCACTGGCACTGGTAGTGAAGGAGCCAACTAGGAAAGGTGTGCTGCTGGACGTTTATTAACAAAGACAGAATGTATGGTTAGAGAGATGAAAGTTGGGGGCAGCCTTGGCTACAATGACCATGAGATCATTAGTATCCTTTGAGGAAGAAGCAGGTCAGTGAGTAGGATCACAACCCTGGACTTCAGGAGCTAACTTTGGCCTCTTCAGGGACCTTCTCAAAAAATCCCAGTGGAACGTGGGGTCCCCAGCAGGACCAGGGGTCCAA